TGAGAAACATAGTCCCTCCAGCGTGTCCTAGGTCTTCCTCTGGGTCTTCTCCCAGTGGGCCGTGCTCGGAACACCTCACCAGGGAGGCATCCTAATCAGATGAAACACCTAAACTGGCTCATCTCTACGTGGAGGAGCAGCGGCTCTACTCTGAGTCCCTCCCGGATGACTGAGCTTCTCACCCTATCTCTAAGGGAGAGCCCAGCCACCCTGCAGAGGAAACTCATGTCAGCCGCTTGTTTCCGCGATCTCGTACTTTCAGTCACTACACAAAGCTCGTGACCATAGATGAGGGTAGGAACTTAGACCGACTGGTAAATCGAGAGCTTTGCCTTCTGGCTCAGCTCCCGCTTCACCACGACAGACCGATACARCMCCCACATCACTGCAGATGCAGCACCAATCTGCCTGTCGATCTCCCGCTCCATTCTTCCCTCATCCGTGAACAAGACCCCGAGATACTTAAACTCCTCCRCTTGAGATAGGACCTCCTTCCCGACCCGGAGAAGGCACCCTACCGGTTTCCGGCTCAAGACCATGGTCTGGGATTTGGAGGCACTTATCCTCATCCCGGCCRCTTCACACTYGGCTGTGAACCGCTCCAGCGAGAGCTGGAGATCACGATCTGATGAAGTCAATAGGACCACATCATCGGCAAAAAGCAGAGATGTGATCCTAAGGCCACCAAAAAGGATCCCCTGAACACCTTGGCTGTGTCTAGAAATTCTGTCCATAAAAGTTATGAACAGAATCGATGACAAAGGGCAACTTGGCGGATTCCAACTCTCACCGGAAACGAGTCCGACTTACTACCGGCAATGCGGACCAAGCTCTGGCACCGGTCATACAGGGACCGGTGCCAGCCCGTATCAATGGGCCTGGTACCCCATACTCCCGGAGTACCCCCCACAGGAGTCTCCGAGGGATACAGTCGAACGCCTTCTCCAAGTCCACAAAACACGTGTAGACTCGTTGGGAGAACTCCCATGCACCCTCCAGGACCCTGCTGAGGGTATAGAGCTGGTCCGCTGTTCCACGACCAGGACGAAAACCACACTGCTCTTCCTGAATCTGAGATTCGACTATCCGACGGACCCTCCTCTCCGAATCCCTGAATAGGCCCTACCAGGGAGGCTCAGAAGTGTGATTCCCRTTTAGTTGGAACATACTCTGCGGTCCCCCTTTTTAAATAGGGGGACCACCACCCCAGTCTGCCAATCCAGGGGAACTGCCCCCGATGTCCACACGATATTGTAGAGTCGCGTCAACCAAAGCAACCCCACAACATTCAGAGCCTTAAGGAACTCCGGGCGAATCTCATCCWCCACCGGTGCCCCGCCATCAAGGAGCTTTTTAACCATCCCGGTGACCTCGGCATCAGAGATTGGAGTGTCCGACCCAGGGTCCTCAGGCTCTGCTTCCTCATTGGAAGAAGTGTTTGTAGGATTGAGGAGGTCTTTGAAGTATTCCGCCCACCGACCCACAATGTCCCGAGTTGAGGTCAGCAGTGCACCATCCCCAACACAAATAGTGTTGGTGGCGAGCCACAGCTCAGGTAATCTGCCTCGACAATGGAGGCACGGAACATGGCCCACTCGGACTCAATGTCCCCCACCTCCCCCGGAACTTGTTCGAAGTTCCCCCGGAGGTGTGAGTTAAAGCTCCATCAGACGGGAGACTCTGACATACGTTCCCTGCAGACCCTCACTAAACGTGAGGGTCTGGGCAGGTGTCTTTTATACTGTTAACGACTTCAAACAGGTGCCATAATACAGGTAATGAGTGGGGGAAAGAGGAGCCTCTTAAAAAAGAAGTTACAGGTCTGTGACAGCCAGAAATCTTGCTTGTTTGTAGGTGACCAAATACTTATTTTCCACCATTATTTGCAAAAAAAATTCTTTAAAAGTCAGACAAAATGATTTTCTCAAAAAATTTTTTTCATATTTTGTCTCTCATAGTTGAGGGGGAGAACTTGCACAATTGGTGACTGACTAAATACTTAATTTTCCACCATTATTTGCAAAAAAAATTCTTTAAAAGTCAGACAAAATGATTTTCTCAAAAATTTTTTCACATTTTGTCTCTCATAGTTGAGGGGGAGAACTTGCACAATTGGTGACTGACTAAATACTTAATTTTCCACCATTATTTGCAAAAAAAATTCTTTAAAAGTCAGACAAAATGATTTTCTCAAAAATTTTTTCACATTTTGTCTCTCATAGTTGAGGGGGAGAACTTGCA